TCATGCTTGAGCCCTCTAATCTCCTGTTGAGACTCATCACTTCGGCCGCCAATGATTCAACTTAGCGGGTTCGAGAAAATAGGCGTTGGGCCATATTAGACACAGAACCTGCACACTGAACACTGAGAGCCAGCGAATCCTTAACAGCTAACTCATCAGACCGTTTGGAAAGTAGTCTGTTATCTTTGGGAGTGAGAAGGTTCCTGGCCACCACCGCAACGGTCATATCATTCTTCATCACGGAATCCCCAACGGTAAGAGGACCAGTAGGGGAAACGAAGGATGGGCGCCATATGTTGTCTGGAGAAGGCGGGGCTGCCTCTTCAACAAGGTTCAAGTCAAAACGACGGTCGGAGGGGCCAGACATTTTCAAAGGTGTTGAAGAGAGAAGAGGTCGGACAAATCAAGATCTTAGAAGTGCAAGAATGGAGCTTCTACTGGTAGAGATTCAAGTGTGCTTTGGAACTTAATGCCAGCCCCTATAAAAAGCTGCACTCGACGGAGCTTCAGACATCGAAGAGGCGCCTGCTCAGAAATCGAAGAGGCGTTTGCTTTCTCAAAAGCTGGGCTGCTTAGACACCACGAGGGTTGATCTCATAAATCAAAGAGGTGTTTGCTTTCTCAAAAGTTGGGCTGCTCAAAGACCACGAAAGCCGATCTCAGAAATCGAAGAGGCGCTCGCTTTCTCAAAAGCTGGGCTGCTTAGAGACCACGAGGGCCGATCTCAGAAATCGAAGAGGCACCTACTTTTCCAGCCTTGTCAGCACCTGTCACACGCACACTCAGCTTTGCGGAAATTATGGGTATTCTGTCGAAGATTTCTGGGGAAGTAGAAAACACATGAATCTTACTATCCAATCACCCACTTCCCACACACAACAATAGCTCATGGGTACCACAGATAACTTTGCCAAAGTTCTCTGCCAAAGTTGAGCATGTGAAGCTTGCAGCTCCCACTACATCGCTCTGACCAAGAAGGGTAAAAGAATAGCAAAGAAACAGCACTAACAAAGTTTAGACCCATAAATTTTGAAGGTCTAGCTACCATATTATTACCCACAAGGGTAAAGGAACAGTACCACTGCTGGATAATTGGAAAGTCCATGTGTGTCAACCTCTGTGCCTCGTGGCAAGGTACACTAGCAAACATGCCCAACCTTTACCCACATTCGAGAAAACACTCCCAATAAGATTGCTTGCTCCAAAATCGAAGAGGCACCGTCCTCCGAATCTCGAGAGCCAGACTCCCAACATGACTACTTTCTAAAAAATCGAAGAGAGGGTAAAGGAACAGTACCATTGCTGGATAATTGGAAAGTCCCTGTGTGTCAACCTCTGTGCTTCGTGGCAAGGTAGACTAGCAAACATGCCCAACATTTACTCACATTCGAGAAAACACTCCCACCAAGATTGCTTGCTCCAAAATCGAAGAGGCACCGCCCTCCGAACCTCGAGAGCCAGACTCCCAACATAATTACTTTCTCAAAAATCGAAAAGACACTACTCCCCGAATCTCGAGAGCCAGACCCCCAGCATGATTGCTTTCTCAAAAATCGAAGAGGCATCGTTCTCCGAATCAATCGAAGAGGCACTCGCTTTCTCAAAAGCTGGGCTGCTCAGAGACCACGAGGGCCGATCTCAGAAATCGAAGAGGCACCTACTTTTCTAGCCTTGTCAGCACCTGTCACACGCACACTCAGCTTTGCGGAAATTATGGGCATTTTGTCGAAGACTTCTGGTGAAGTAGAAAGCACATGAATCTTACTGTTCAATCACCCACTTCCCACACGCAACAATAGCTCATGGGTACCACATATAACTTTGCCAAAGTCTCTGCCAAAGTTGAGCACGTGAAGCTTGCAGCTCCCACTACATCACTCTGACCAAGAAAGGTAAAAGAATAGCAAAGAAACAGCACTAACAAAGTTTAGACACATAAATTTTGAAGGTCTAGCTACCATATTATTACCCACAAGGGTAAAGGAACAGTACCACTGCTGGATAATTGGAAAGTCCCTGTGTGTCAACCTTCGTGCTTTATGGCAAGGTAGATTAGCAAACATGCCCAACCTTTACTCACATCCGAGAAAACACTCCCAACACGATTGCTTACTCCAAAATCGAAGAGGCACCGCCCTCCGAATCTCGAGAGCCAGACTCCCAACATGATTACTTTCTCAAAAATCGAAGAGACACTGCTCCCCGAATCTCGAGAGCCAGACCCCCAGCATGATTGCTTTCTCAAAAATCGAAGAAGCATCGTTCTCCGAATCTCGAGAGCTAGATACCACATACCACTAACTGACACAATTTATGGTGAAACACTCACACTCTCAACCTTGGAGAAGAACAACTCTTAGAAACTCTCACTCTCTCACTTGGAGTGGTATGCTTGCTTTTTGCGATGATTCACAATGGTGAAATGCCACCCCTATTTATATGCATGGATGGAACATCATAGTGAGTCCAAGAATTAACTCCACACTATCATTGGAAGTCAAAGCAATACCATTCAATGCACTAGCATTGGAACTTCATTTATTCATGCACCACATCGAATTCCTATGTTTGGTTAGGGTAATACTAGGAATGCCAAATTTTTAAACTAAATTTTGTAAACCAAATAATGTGGATGTTAATTATTAGATTATTACTCAAGTGTTAATTAACGTGCTTATTTCTTATTTGTGACACATCATTTAGTTTGAAATTTAGTTTAAAAATTTGGTATCCTAGCATTATCTATTTGGTTAATGCCATTTGCAATTCCAATGTATAAGGTAAATGAACCAACCATTACATCCTTTGAATGTAGTATTCTCCAATGCATCATTAATTCGCTAAATACTTGTAGAGATTCCATGCCATCCTTCATCAAGGGTTGGACCCGTGGTATGCTAACATTTTGGCGTGAGTTAACATTCTCGGTGTAATTAGTTGGATTTGCTTCCTAATTGTTTTCTTGTAATTAGGGTAGAATTAAGGCTAATTTGGTATTGTTGTACTTTAAAAAAAATTGCATCTATTGAACTGTGAGAATAAACAGCTATAAAAAAATATAGATATAAAAAATTAAAAAAAACAGTAATGTTTGGTAAACTTTTATATAAATTGTTGTGAATATGTTAAATGATTAAAAATGATATGATATTTAATATGATATAGTAATTGACAAAGACAATAAGATCGGTGATGTAAGAAGGCCCTATACCAAGAGAATGTCCCTATACCAATCCTTATCCTGACCAAGAAGATCGGTGATGTAAGAAGGCCATCGAAGCGTAGATCGAGACTGAAAAAAGTAACGAGTATTAGCGCTTCTCCGGAATGTGTTGGAACGTGAAATTCGGATAAGCCCAGTTCGACGTGATACCATTCGTTCAGGCGTTCGAAGCAGAATATAATACAGACGGAAGTATGAGTGAAATTGCAGAGACCAATTTGGAAATGCATGATGATCTCCTTCCACACCGGCAACAAGGGGAATCTCAACACCAATCGAGGTAACAAGGATGGATCTTAGTGCAAGGACGAAGGGGATCAATAGGTTGGTGATCACATCATCACTATCTTTCCACCAGACACGACACCCGTTGAGAAGGTGGCTGTGACTGCAAGAAAGCTTCTTCCTTACCCTTGTTACAAACCCTGACCATAGGGCTTCAGGGTTATCCAGAACAGCAAGTTGGGCAAAAGAACTGGCGGCTGTGATTTCTTTTGAATACAAGAAGGCTAACAACGACGAATGTAAAATTGAAGTGCTCTTTGGATGAGAATGGAGATTTGGGAATTCAGGAAGAGAGTGAAGGCAGTGGTACGACAGATATTTAAAAAAGATATTTCGAATCATCTTACCGTTAAATACGGACCAGTTCGCCTCGAGATTAACGAACTCGACTGTTGTGTCTTTAGAGGTAGGATGCTAAATGAGAATTCTTATTTTTTGTGCGCACGCAACAGACAGGACACATCATCATTACAAGGTCTTAGGTGCGGAGTCTAAGATAGCCCACTCAAGATTGAAAGAGCAGCCGCTTCAAAGCCAAAAGTCTGATAGGAATACAGTTGCCTTAGAAGTCCAGTCATGAACTCACCAGCTCTAAGCGGAGCTCTATCAGCAGACGGAGTAGCGATGCCACCATCACTTAACTTCGGGGCACTAGGCGGAGTCCTAGTGACTTCGCTGGATAACTATGCTTGTTCCGGAAGACACACGATTTGACTCGGATATGGACACAATCAAATCTTATAAATTTTGGAGTTCCTACAACCTAGGGATTGACATGCACTGCAATTAATCGCAACTTCTAAGAGGGTGCAATATCTACTTCTAGATATCCTCTAGGATTTTCCCATCCCAGAACGAGGATTCTATCCTAAAATAGGTCTCTCTTCCCCTGGTGTAAATACACTCATCTAGGGTTCATCTATGATAACGCAATCTAATAAACACTTCAATTCTCTTGCCCACTGCTTTGAGTCTAAATTCATTCACTAACTTGACCGTCAGAGAGCCTTTGGCCTTGACACACTCCCCCTCCCCCAGTCTTAGGCTTGCTCACGACTGTTTACTATTTTGTAGGTTACCCAAGTTTATTTGAAGGTTTGTTTCAGATTTGTGTCCAAGTAGGCTAGTTTGCTATTTTGTTCTCTAAACATTCTCCTCCAAGAAGAATTAAAGAATTCCAAGTGCATTTGAGATTAATCAAGAATTCTGAAATTTAACCCTAAAACTTTTATTTTTAGAAAATGCACATAATTAAACAGGATTTGGAAAATTTGAATACTTAAGTAGTGTGTTCCTTCAAAATTATTTTTACGATGCCGTTCCGTTAATGGAGTGTGTATAATATTATTATGTTGAATTGCGTTCTGGCAAAATCAAGTTGTAAAGAAACTAATTAGCTTTCTTCAGTGTCAGAATTTAATTTTGTCAATATTCAGCAAACATCCAAGGATAATATGGTTCGAAAGTTCCTATATATACCCCCACCCACAATGTCTTTTATGCATCAAACCAAGCATATTCATCACAAGAGCACAACTAGAGAGATAGAGAGAAACAGAGAAAATGAAGAGTTTCATTTCCAAAGAGTCCATTGTCCTACTAGTAATTCTTCTTTCGGCAATATGCTTGGTCGCTGAAGCTCAACAATGTCGTCCAAGCGGCAAAATCAGAGGAAGGAAGGCTCCGCCTGGACAATGCAACCAGGAAAATGATTCTGATTGTTGTAAGCCGGGCAAAATGTACCCAACCTACACATGTTCACCGCCATTGTCTGGGAGCACCAAGGCCACCCTCACCATTAACAGTTTCGAAAAAGGTGGAGATGGTGGCGGTCCATCAGAATGTGACAACCAATACCACAATGACAACACACCAGTTGTGGCTCTGTCCACTGGATGGTATAGCAACGGAGATAGGTGCCATAAACAAATCAGAATTAATGGTAACGGACGTAGCGTGTTGGCCATGGTGGTGGATGAATGTGACTCTACTGAGGGATGTGATGCAGATCATGATTACCAACCTCCTTGTCCTAACAACATTGTTGATGCCTCAAAAGCTGTTTGGAAAGCCTTGGGTGTGCCTGAAGACCAATGGGGTGGCCTAGATATCACTTGGTCCGAAGCTTAGTTACATTAATTAATTTCTGTCTTGCTTTGCGTATATGATCATTGTGGATTGTATTCTATAATATGTTACAAGTACTATACTATTTAAGAAGTCAATATATTTAAACTTGTTTTTCTTATACTTTGTTTATTGTAAATTATAAAGTAATATTACATAATCATATACATATCACTCGACTTCTGTTTTGTTTTAGTTCGTTTTCTAGGTCTTATCTCATACCTTCAAGCAGCTGTCTTTTGGCTCTTCTTTCTTTGGTGTCAGGGCATACTTGCCTTCTTATTACAACAAGTTTTTAAAAAAAAAAGTGAGAATGTGTAAGTAAAAGAGTCTCACAGTGATGAAAGGAGAAACCTTATAAGAACTTATGAGAGGTTGGGGTATTCCCCATATTGATAATTGGTTTTATGGTAGAACCCCAATTTCTTCCTGGTTTCAGAGTATTATATCCCACGTGTGAAACCAAACTGCCACACGCGTTCCACGATACCCCATTGTGTTGTTCACATGTTAGGCTTGAAAATTCGTCACAAGTGAAGGGGCGTATTGAGAATGAATTCCACATTGATGGATGGAGGAACCTTGCATGGGCTTATAAGTAAGTTGGACTACTCCATATATTGTCAATTAGTTTTACGATGGAATCCTAACTTTTTTTATGGTCTTAGAGTAGCTTTGTCCACGTGTGAAGCCCAACAACCAAACGTGTTACACATCAATTCGTATTGTCCACGTGTTTAGCATGAAAGTTCGCCACACGTGAGGGGGTGTGTGAGAATGTAATGTTAAAAGAGTTCCACGTTGGTGAAAGGAGAAACCTTAAAAGAGCTTATAAAAGGTTTGGCCACTTCCCATATTACCAATTGGTTTTATAAAGGAATCTCAACAATCTTCACAAAAGACAAGAAGGTAAAATCTAAATTAAGCATGTGGTTCAATATCCTAATGGCTAACATGTTAGTTTTCTACCCATGCGTCCGGGTTGAAAACTTTCTCATTTCCTAAGTTATTATAATAGTTTCAAACCTTCTCCTTTCCCTTAATAATAGTAATTTAAAAAAAAATCTAAATCAAGGTGTACTAATTAATCAAAAATCTCCAAAATGGGCTTGTTGTCGTAACACATACAAGCATCATTTTTATTTTTACTGTTATGCTCCTAATTTGAATTTATCCAGATGAACTTGGTTGATTCCTGTACTAGAAAAACCCTTTATCATAAAAATATTTCTTAAGATGTTCAAAAAACAGTTATAAAAAAAAAGAGACGAAAAATGAGCCTAATCAAGCTAAATAAGAGACCTATTAATGCTTGGAACTTTATAATACAAAAACCATTTTCATTGGTATTAAAATTCACAGGAGCTGGCATTCAACTGTTCAGAAGATGGTACCATATTTGCAATCATGAATAAAGATGATCCTTCTAGTACCGGCTTAGGTGTCACGGTCTGCTGCGTTCCAAACTTTGATTATTCACCATCATAGTGTTATATAATTAACTTGCTTATAATTGCTTATGAGTTATTAGCTCCTTGGAGTAAGACGATGTCACGCTAGCGGCCCAATTTGGATTAAGTCATATTATGAGTCCTAACCTTGCTATCCTTGAATGGAAAATCAACTATAGATTCCCTATGCCGTTGGATTGATTATTACAGAGAAAACTATGAAAAATTATTGAGTAAGTAGACTGGACATCTTTGTATTCCGAGAAACAGTTCATGGTAACATATTTTACGAATTGGTAATGTCACTCTCAGTATGTCCCATTGGAGGGATATAATAATATGGATTATCTTTAATTAATTAAGATTTTGGTGCTTCGCATAATTGGGAAGGATTTAATTTCAAGATGATTCGGGCAGTGGACTTTGATGGAGTGTACAACAGCTTGCATAGCAAAATATTTTTATTGAATGTTGATTGTTATTTTTTTTCAAGAAAACTAATGAAAATAGTTTGAAAACTTTGAGTTTTAATAATAAGAACAAAATAAATGGTAAAGTGAATAGTACCAGGATTGACTTTTTAGTGTAAAAATGTGGTTTTTCGTTAAAGTGAACAGTATCAGGTGCTTTTCGTTAAAGTTCCCTTTTTTCCAAGTATATAGCTATATTATATATATATATATATATATATATATATGCCACCCTCAATTGCTTTTAGTAGGCCTGGCAAACGGGTCGTGTCTGTCGTGTTCGTGTCGTTTTCGTGTAACACGAGTTATTTTATCGGGTCGTGTCGTGTCACACCCGTTAAGAAAAAAAAAATTCTTAAATTTGCACATACCACACATTGCCACATAAATATTACTTCAAAACATTAAAACACATTTGTCTAGAGGTATTTTTTCTCTAGAGGTATTTTTCTCTAGAGGCCAAAAAGATGGTATTCACAAGAAATCGTTGTGAATGGGTACTTGTATCCTCTCATTATTATTGTTGCTAGCCGACATCGTATCATCGTGAGGTGGGTTTGGTAATAGTGAGCCTCCCATAACCCGCTAGGAGCTTTCTTTGAAATCTCCCGGATTCCATTTTGGGGGATATGGAATTTGCCAAAAATGGTGGGTGGTGTCATTCGGTTTAAAGACCCGAATCGTTTGACTTAATCAACAATCAATCTAATTATTTTATTGTTTATGTATATAGATATGGTTGGAAGCACACTCGCGAAAATACTCGACAAACATTGCCTAGAGGGGCACAATTTCCCATCATGGTATCGTAATGTCAAGATTCTCCTAACCTTGGAGAAGATTGTTTACGTGCTAGACAAGGCTCCACCTCACATACCTCTTGGCCCAAACGCCACTGAGGATGAACGTGCTAAGTATGACAAGCACGTGGAGGATGATACACAAGCCAAGTGCTATCTATTGGCTTCCATGAATGAGGAGCTACAGAGACAGCACGAGGGCGTGGACAGTGCATCTTCCATAATACTCCATCTTACGGAGTTATATGGTGAAGGGACGCGCAATCGTCGCTTTAGCATTGTTTGTGAACTTGTGAAGACCAAGATGGTCAAGGGGGCTCCAGTGCATCAACATGTACTGAAGATGATAGGATTCATTGAACAATTGGAGAACCTTGGTACTCCACTTGACGGGGAATTGGCCCAGGACTTCATATTGGCTTCTCTTTCTGATTCATTTGCGCAGTTCGTAATGAACTACAATATGAATAAGATGGATAATACTCTCTCTGAGTTACTAAATATGTTAGTAACTGCCGAGAAGACTATGAAGAAAGAGAACGTTGTAGGGACTGCTGCAGTAGCCTACAACAAGCCATCCTCTTCCAAGGCCAAGCCGCAAGGCAAAGGCAAAGGGAAGGAGAAGAAGTCCCCCACTCCTAAGCCGAAAGGAGGAGTGAGGAAAAAGAAGGCAAAGGAGCCCAAGGGGACTTGCCACCACTGTGGAAAGGAAGGGCATTGGAGGAGGAATTGCAGGTTATATCTTGCAAGTCTTAAGGACAAGCCACAAGGTATGGTTTATGTTCTTATCTTCAATTATAAATGTTAGATCTTCTAAATATTTATATTTGATATAAAGAGTTAATCACTTGTATAATTATATATAGGTGGAGAAGCCAAGTAGAAGAAGGACAAGCAAGATAGAAGTGGAGAAGTGTTCGGCCACTATATTTTTTGCTTATTACTTAGAAGTTTGTTAGGCATTAAAGATTGTCTTTAAACTTTCTTATTTTGTTAAGAACTTATTATGTGGCTTCATATGATGGAAGACCACTATTAGTGCCTAAATGTATAAAGGTATTTATATTAGTCTCTAAATGTATAGAGCTAATACTTTTTGTATTAAACATTATGAATGTTTGAATTATCATATTAATGTAATATGAAGAATGCCTTTTAATTTACTATTTCCTTAAAGTAGTGTTATGAATTGAAAATTGTCTTGTTGTATCCTAGATGAGATACAAGAGTTATATCACTTATTATAATGTGATAACCAAACTTTAGATTTATCAATTATGGATAGATCTCACATGTAGGACATAAATGGATACAATGAATCTTTAGATTTGGTTCCAATTGTCTACCTATGAGTCCTATATGAATTGACAAAAGTCTAGAGATTCCTTTCTTGAAGAAAAGGAAGATCACATTATAATGATATAAGGAAATAGAAAAACGTTTCTTATATGGTTATCACTTGAAACACAATGATCAAGATCACTCTTGATTCAATTAGTAATTTTGAACAACTAATTGGGCATTCTTTAAAAGGTTTTAAAATGTCAATTATGTTAGTGATTAAACCAAGAAAGAAGTATCTAAATCTATAAAAGGTTTAAAGATTTTAGCTACTTAAATAACAAGACATTAAACTTAGTGAAGATTGAAACAAAAAGGCTTGAAATGTTTTAAAGCTACTACACAATGTCTTCTACCAATATAATCCACTTTTATACATTTTGTATGTATGAAATGATTTCTCAGTAAAGTCATAAGAAATAGTGGGAGGTGTGAAAATGGATATAAACTTGAATATGATTGGTTTATAGTTGTCTAAAGAGTAATAGTATTTGACTATTATTAAGAGTTTGCAATTTTAATTGTTAAAAGACTCAAGTTCTTCAAAACGTTAAAATTCTATGTTGTGTGACATTCTAAAGAATAGTCTTTGAATGTTGGTTTCGTCAACCTAGCATAAAATGGTTATATGTTGGGAGTTGTCCATAATTCTCTTTTATGAGAACAAGCTAAATTACCAAGCATATGGACAAGTTGATGAAACAAAAGGGAATAAGTTTCAAAATGAGTCACAACATATGGTTTAACAACAAGACAAGCCAAATTCAAACATCTCATGTAACAATATTGCTCTATGTAGTTTTGATAAAGAATTATATCAACCACCTAGAAGGAATGGTTGAGTTTCTATACCCTTAGTAGGAGCCATGCTTCCACTAAAGACTTGGATAATTCTTATATGATTACATTAAAGGTCTTGGTATGACTAAAACTTGAAGTATGGTGTATGACACCATATAATTTAAATGAATAAGACTTGATAAATCAAGTCACACATTTCAAGGAATTACTTGAGAAGGAATTCTTTTGTGTGTGATTCATTTAAGTTAGTGGGAGCAATATGCATTCAAATCAAGAAAATATAATTGTTATTTTTGAATGAATTCTAAGTTACAAC